ATATATATATATATATATATATATATATATATATATATATATATATATATATATATGTATATATATATATATATATATATATATATATATATATATATATATATATATATATATATATATATATATATATATATATTCATGGTTTTTTTCCATAAACTGTAGTTTTAAAGAGAGCATTAATAAACCAGACCAGAAAAAGTTAAAAATCTTAAATAATTTTTTATGTTTTTTTATCTCTTTAATGATAGACTGCCTGCCCAAACCAAACACTCAGTCGATGTAGCAGCACTCCCTTGCAAGTCAGGCTATTTGTCAGTCAATGTAACAGCACTCCCTTGCGAGTCAGGCTATTTGTCAGTTGATGTTGCAGCGCTCCGTTGTGAGTCAGGCTAAAAGATAATCGATGTAGCAACACACTGTTGCGAGTCAGGCTATAAGATAGTCGATGTAGCAACACCCTGCTCATGTTTTTATATATTTCAATATATATTTCAATAAAACAATAACAAAAACACTATTAATTAAAAAAACTTTCTAGTCATTATAATTGCGGTTTTTTAAAAAAACAATAAAACTTAATGTACTTCCGCATTAATTTAATTGCTTTGACATTTCGACGACAATAAAATGTAGCTTAATTGTTGAGGTAGAAAAATTGTAGTCGAAAGAGACTTTTTTTAAATTAAAAGTCTCTTTTAATATATATATATATATATATATATATATATATATATATATATATATATATATATATATATATATATATATATATATATATATATATATATATATATATATATATATATATATGTATGTATGTATATATATATATATATATATATATATATATATACATATATATATATATATATATATATATATATATATATATATATATATATATATATATATATATATACATATATATATAAATATATATATATATATATATATATGTGTGTATATATATATATATGTATATATATATATATATGTATATATATATATATGTATATATATATGTATATATATATGTATATATATATGTATATATATATGTATATATATATATATATATATATATATATATATATATATATATATATATATATATATATATGTATATGTATATATATATATGTATATATATATATATACACATATTACGTGAAGAAAAAAAAAGTTAAAAGCTAGAATCGCACAGAAAAGTTTTATAAATAGAAAAATATTTTAATATTCTCCCTATTATTATCTCTAATAAAATTTGATTTAGTTACATGTCTAAAACATTATGTTTTTAATATTTCAAACAATTTTGATTATACTAAAACTTGTTGTTTTTTTAGAAAAAAATAATTTTTGTGTGCACTATTAATTGCATTCTAATAATAATTTTTCATGTTTATCTTAATTTTTTTTATTTTGTTAATTTTTTTGACAAAGTTAAAATGAAAAAATTGTTATTTTAATGAAAAACAAAAGAGGTTCAGCGTTTGTGTGATTCAGTGATGATTCAACAATTTTCAAATTTTTCACATGCATCTTAATGTTTTTTATTCATTAATTTTGTTTGAATAAAATTTAAAGTTAAAATAAAAATTTATTTTCTTAATGAAAAACAAAAGAGATCGTGTTATTAATGTCAACTGCTTTTAAAAAAACGTGCTTTAAAATGCAACATCAGCGTATAAAAAAACAGTACAGTTGCACTTTGAAATATTAAATTGCGTATTGGCTTCTTTTTATAAAGTTTGGTAAAATTATATAATGCATCATTTGTTCGTGGAAAATTATTGCAAAGTAATGTTAAATGTATATTATTACTTTGTTTGAAGTTTATTTTTTATTAGTAGTTATAGGGTAAAAATAACAAATTAACTTTACCAAATGTCTCTTTGCTCTCTGTAATTCTAGTGCTCTATCCCACATTTCTAAGTTTGTTTGGTTTCTTAGGTTATATCATTCTCTGAAAGTATGACTTTAACCTTTTTATTTTGCATTGACTTTTTAAAATTTAATATCTTAAAGTGTCATAGTTCCTAAATATTAGCAACAAAAGGAGTGTTGGAGTAGAGGGTATTTGAGGATATTGGCAACAAAAGATTGTTAAAGTAGAGTTTCAGTTGTGAAAGAATAATGAATGATTTATTGGTCAATTGATGAAGAAACAAGCTTAGTTAATTTGGTCAAATATGTTTTTATATATTTATTAGATTTTAAAATGATAACTTATATACTTCTTACTGTACTTTAAAACATTTGATAATAGTTTTAAAACACTACTTCTAATTATATCTAGTTTTTTCATTAATCTTTTTTTTTTTGCACAACTTCATACCTCAGTACACTGAATAATTTACCATTTAAATAAAAGAAAATACTGTTTTTCATATTTACTTTTGTAACAATTCAAATTTTATAAACTATTTGTTTTTAACAATCTTATTTTTATTACTGATGATTGGACCAAGTTATGCAACAGAAAACCAACCAACATTTTTTATTATGAGTTATTAATTGGAAAAAAGGCTAATTAAAAATATCTATAATAATATTCTACTTATAGTCGCATTAGCAATAGGCTGGGAATGCATTTGCTAATAATTTCAAATTTAAAAACTTAAATTATGTCTAGTTTTAAAATTGTTTTTCTTAATTACCTCGAAAGTTGTAAATGTTGGTTGGTTCCCTATTGCACAATGAGGTCCAATTATGACAACAATCTTATCAAAATCTAAAATAAAGTTACTGGCTGCGCTAAAAGTGCTTGAAAGGAAACTTTAAAAGTAAAAAAACAATTTTTGTATTCAAAATGTTGGTGGACACTTGAACTAAGTTTCAATAAATTTAATCTTTTAATAAAATGGATAGATTCGCAAACATTTAAACTTTATGAAAACCTTTAGTTTGTCTGTCTATCATTACAAAAATAGTTATACCATTAAAAATAGTATTATGTTAAATAAATTTTTTATGAACAAAATTATTAAACATTTCTACAGCAACAATTCATCTGTTTACTTATGCCCTTAAGGTTTAAGTTTTTGATATCTGTAGCTAAGATATTATTTTTGATAAAGTATTCTTTGATATAAAGTTTTCACTTTGTATAGTTAACACTATCTCTTCATTTATATAGTGAACACTAGCCCTTCATTTGTATAGTGAACACTATCTCTTCATTTCTATAGTAAACACTATCTCCTCATTTGTGTAGTAAACACTAGCTCTTCAATTGTAAAGTGAACACCGTCTCTTCTTTTGTGTAGTAAACACTATCTCTTCATTATGCAACAATAGTTGTGCAACAATCTCAAATTTTTGCAACTCAAATTCCTTTCTTGGAATTGGATCAAACATATTTATTGTAAATAAATAAAGTGTTGATTAGTTTTTAGAAAAAAAAAGCTCTACATCGGTAGAGACACATTTACTATATAAGAGAATTGAGTTGTATTATGTTTCTTGTTCTTTAAGGTGCTATATTTAATTATTCGATGTTGTTAGTTTTAGTGTAAATATGTAGTAATTTTTCTTTTGGTTTTTTATAAGTTTTTTGTTGAATTAAAAGTTTTAAATCTGAGAAGTTGGCTGTTGGTAGAATCTGAGAAGTTGACTGTTGATAGAATCTGAGAAGTTGGCTGTTGATAGAATCTGAGAAGTTGGCTGTTGATAGAATCTGAGAAGTTGGCTGTTGATAGAATCTGAGAAGTTGGCTGTTGGTAGAATCTGAGAAGTTGACTGTTGGTAGAATCTGAGAAGTTGACTGTTGATAGAATCTGAGAAGTTGGCTGTTGATAGAATCTGAGAAGTTGGCTGTTGATAGAATCTGAGAAGTTGGCTGTTGGTAGAATCTGAGAAGTTGGCTGTTGATAGAATCTGAGAAGTTGGCTGTTGATAGAATCTGAGAAGTTGGCTGTTGATAAAATCTGAGAAGTTGGCTGTTGGTAGAATCTGAGAAGTTGACTGTTGGTAGAATCTGAGAAGTTGGCTGTTGATAGAATCTGAGAAGTTGGCTGTTGGTAGAATCTGAGAAGTTGGCTGTTGATAGAATCTGAGAAGTTGGCTGTTGGTAGAATCTGAGAAGTTGACTGTTGATAGAATCTGAGAAGTTGGCTGTTGGTAGAATCTGAGAAGTTGGCTGTTGATAGAATCTGAGAAGTTGGCTGTTGGTAGAATCTGAGAAGTTGACTGTTGGTAGAATCTGAGAAGTTGGCTGTTGATAGAATCTGAGAAGTTGGCTGTTGGTAGAATCTGAAAAGTTGGCTGTTGGTAGAATCTGAGAAGTTGACTGTTGGTAGAATCTGAGAAGTTGGCTGTTGGTAGAATCTGAGAAGTTGGCTGTTGATAGAATCTGAAAAGTTGACTGTTGGTAGAATCTGAGAAGTTGCCTGTTGGTAGAATCTGAAAAGTTGGCTGTTGGTAGAATCTGAGAAGTTGGCTGTTGGTAGAATCTGAGAAGTAATAATTTAATAAAAGAATAATTTTACTTTTTTGAGTAATATAGTATATTAATTTATATTACCTTTTCAAATATAAAATAAAAATTACATACTTGTGCTATTATAGGAACTTAAAGTAGTTCTAATAGGAACTTTAAGTAGATTAATAAGAATTCCAAGTAGTTTTAATTGGAACTCCAAGTAGTTTTAATTGGAACTCCAAATAGTTTTAATAGGAACTTAATCTTAATTTTATTCAAATTAATTTCCAAAAAACATTTTGCTAAGATAATTCTTTTAAAAAACTTAATTTTTTTTTCTTGAGCATCAATTTTAGTTAAGCATTAGTAATGCTTTTACAATTTGAATTAAAAATTACACATGGTATAGTGGTAGAGCACTTGCTTCATGAGTGTAAAATTCTGAATTTGAGCTCCTTTATGTTCATTGTACTATGCACAATTTTTTCCTTACACCTGCTATGTATGTATGTATGTATGTATGTATGTATGTATGTATGTATTTATACTCACATGTTCATATATGCTTTCATTTTAGCTGGTGCCAATATGCCAATTTACTTGGCCGAGTTGGGCAAGGCTATTCCTCTTCAAGAATGTAGTCAATGGCAACTTTTGAACTTGGATGTTGACACAGTTTGCAATCTTACATCTAATTTAAAAAAGTTTTGTAATCTTGAAAACACTGAATTGATTGACTCTGCACTCAAGGTATAGTTTTTTGTAATTTTGTCAAATATGAAAAAATACAAAAATTTTTGAAAAGTTTTAATCATGAAAAGATTAAAAAAAACACCTTTTTTTCAGGAATTTTAGTTTTTTTTTAAAAGAAAAAATACTGAGCTTAAATTATCAGAATGGAAAAATCTATTTTTTAAAAAATGTTAAACATTATATAATAACCATTGTAATATTTTACAGATAAAACAGCATAACAATATTTAATAAAATTGTATTCATTGCCATTTTAATTGTTTATTGATTGTTTTGTGATGCTGATTCCAAATATGCGATGGTTTTTCTGTATCATTTATTGTCAAAAAATTATAACAGCTAAAGTATTTCCACGAAATTTAGAATTTTGATATTAAGATTGTTTTGCAAGAGCAATGTAAATCCAAGAATTTGGATTTACATTGTTACCTGTTACCTTTGTATAATTTATGCTATAAAATACAGAAAAAGAGGGAAAACAAGAACTCCAATATCTGGAGTTTATGTTTTCCCCCTTTACCATCAATTACTTAATACAGTTAGTAGCACACGATGAAAGGTCGCCAGTGTCATTTTCTCCATCAAATATGATTATGTTTGATTATTTGCAATTTAATAAATTCGTTAAAGGATTGTAAAATATTATAAATGAATGCATATCAACTTTTTAAATTAATATATCTTGGTATTTTGTTAACAATACTTTGTAAATGGAAAAAATCATTGAAAAAGTTATTGCTAATAACTCAAGTGATTAATTATAACATAAGTCATCATAATTTATAGAAATCAAAATAATGGCTATTTAAGAAGAGTTTGAATAAATGCAGTTTTTTCTTTTTGCTTCTTCTGGTTCTTTTTAAGACTGAGAGCCATTTATGTTTCTGTTTAATTCAGATATAGTGCTGTAGCTTCATAATTATACAGCAGACACCTTAGAAGGTTTAAGCTTTTTTCGAGAATTTTTTTAGGCAAGAAACTTGTATTATCTATAATAACAGCTACTAATCTCTGAATAATGCTATATTCTAAGAAAACATTACTGCTATGATCTGATCTCAAACTTATTGCAGTTTTTGCCAAGTTTGTTAAATGAGCATAATTATTTTCAACTGGTTATTAAATAATCTGAGTCTGTCTCATAATCTTTTTTTATCAAATAACTTAGCATCCAGATTAGGATCACAGTAAATTTTTACAGCTGAAGACTAAATAATTTTTTTATCTTAATGTCAGTTTCTCTCCTTTGCTTTCTTTTTTTCTAATTTTTAATTAATTATAACAATATGAATCTTTCTGTGATTCTAACGATCTTTTAAGTATTATCAATTAGTTAAAACAACTTGACATTTTTTTTAGTAAGTTGTTTTAGTATAATCGTTAAAGAAGCTTTATATGAATATCAAATATATTGAGTTTATGAAGATCACAAATCACAATCCAAGCCATAGGCTTCCTTCCTATTATGAATGCTTAGAATTTACTCTACATCACAGATTGATATACCCACTTGAAAATTTTGAAATTTAAAAAATAAGATATGAATATTAAATCTGTTTGTATGTTGAAAGATAAGCAAATCAGCATAACTCCTGGTTTCATTATGAGTTCTTATGTTTTTTAATTAAATGTATATATATATATATATATATATATATATATATATATATATATATATATATATATATATATATATATATATATATATATATATATTATATATATGTATATATATATATATATATATATATATATATATATATATATATATATATATATATATATATAATATATATATATATATATATATATATATATATATATGTATGTATATTTGTATAGTTTAGCACTTATGGGGACAGATTTTACAAAAAAAATGAACATTTACATGGACATAAGCAGTATCGGGGACATTTTAGTGTACTCGTAAATTTTTTGTCCATGTAAGCATGATTTTTTTTGTACCCGTAAAAAATATGCCCGTAAGAAACTTTTATAGAGAACGAAAAGTATATATATATGTGCATACAACGACTGACAAATAGCCTGACTTGCAAGGGAGTGCTGCTACATCGACTGAGGGTTTGTTTAGGCCAGGCATAAAGGTCATGCTTAGGGTTAGGGTTACAGCAAGGTTTAAATTTGGTCATATTATTGTAATTAATCGTTTTTGTAAATAGATGAAGTTAAAAATGAAATATAATATAAAATAAATAAATAAAAATAACAAAAATTAAGATAAAAATTACATAGTTAAATTTATTATTTTTATTAATAAAAATATATTTTTATTATAAAATAATAAATTTAAATATGTATAAATAAAAATAGAAATAAAATAAAAATTAAAGAAAATATATAAAAAAAGTAAAAAAAAAAAATATTTCCAAAAGTCGCCAACTAGGATGCTGTGTGTGTATATATATATATATATATATATATATATATATATATATATATATATATATATATATATATATATATATATATATATATATATATATATATATATATATATATATATATATATATATATGTAATGATCAAATGCTTTTTTGTATGTATATAATTTAATTTAAAAAAACATTGTTTAATATTATTTTTTATTTAAGAAACATTCAGTTGTTTCCATTGGGCTAGGTAGCTTCATGCAAAGGCAACAACTTGCAAACTCTCCTGTTATTTTTTGTCCTGGAACATGCCATTATTCATATCCCAAAGCAGCTACAATTCTGGGGTTAGGCGATCAAAGTATAATTCCTCTCGAGGTAGATCGTTACTGCAGAGTTAAGATGGAAGGTAAATTAAATTTTTTTAAAAGAAATTTGTTTTTCTTAATTAGTTTTTAAAGTTTCAAAACTTAAAATAATTTATTTCATTTTTAGTACTGAGAAGTAAGTTGGAGCGCCATTTAGAATTAAAGATTCCTATTATTACAGTTGTGGCAGTTATTGGTTCAACTGAAGAAAGTGCTATTGATCCAATTGCTGAGATGTTTGCCATGAGAGCAGAATTTCAGAAACGAGTGCGTATTTTAATAGATATACTAGAGGAAAAACATTTTTCAGCTTTAAGTTTTGACATATCTTGTAGTTGATTCCAGTTATATGGTGGAGAGCAAAGTTGTTTTGTTTTTTAGTGTTGTGAGATGTTTTTTTAGTGTTGTAAGATGTTTTGTTTTTTAGTGTTGTAAGTTGTTTTGTTTTTTAGTATCTTTTTGTTTGGTATGAGTTATGAAAATCAATACATATGTATATTTGTATATATGTATATTATATATATATATATATATATATATATATATATATATATATATATATATATATATATATATATATATATATGTATATATGTATATATATATATATATATATATATATATATATATATATATATATATATATATATATATATATTATATATATATATTTATGAACATGTTACTGCAGTAACAAGTTAACAGTTATTTGTGTTGCTATTTTATTATTGGTTAAAGTTGTTAAAGTTTTGTTTTAATTAAACTAATGGTTGTAAAAAAATGATTTAAAAGAAAATGATTTCAATTGGTTTTCTTAAATGTGTTTAATAAAATCGTAATAAACTGGGATTCAGCCTTTAAAAAAAAAGAAGTATAATAGTGTTTTCAGTGTTATTATGTGTTTTTAAAGAACTTAATCATTAAAAATTCTTTTATTTGTTTTTATTTTATTATTAGGGTCTGAGTTTTACAATTCATGCTGATGCAGCCTGGGGAGGGTACTTGCTCACAATGATACGTGATGCAAGTGCTGATCGATTAATGAAGCTGGAGTACCTTGGTGAAAGCTTTGTTCCTGAAATTCCATTATCAGAATATGCTACTAATCAATATCAATCTGTGAAATCGGCAGATACAGGTATTTTTTTTTTAATTTTGTTTCAAAATGTATACTTTGAAAACTTTTCATGAGAACAGAATTCATAAAATTAGTTTTGTTAGGGATGCCTTTTTTTTGAATTTCTAATTTTTTTTTCTCTTTAGTTACCATTGATCCTCACAAAAGTGGTTTTTGTCAATACCCTGCTGGTGCTTTGGCTTATCGAAACGGTGTAATGAAAGGATTTATCACATTACAAGCTCCAGAAGTTTTTCACAGTGAAGATGATATTTCTGTTGGTGTTTATGGCTTGGAAGGTTCAAAGCCTGGTGCTGCTGCTGCTGGAGTGTTGCTAGCACACAGGGTATATGCTTATATAAGTTGACATGATAAGCTGCTTAATTTTTTTTTCTCTAGATCTATGGTCATTTTAATTTTTTCATTATAGGTTCTTGGTCTAGATAAAACAGGATTAGGTCGTATATTAGGACAATGTCAACTTGGTGCAAAGTTATTCTACTGTATGTGGATGACTGTTGCAAGAGACTATGATGATTTTATTTGCTTAAATTTAATTGATCTTCCTGAAGGTTGCGATACTAATAAAGCAATAAAATTGATAAAAGAGAAAATTTTGGGTAAAGACAACAAAGAATTGGTTAAGGTAATTTTTTATATATTTTTTCATTTATTTTTTTTGTTTTTAAGATTTAAAATATTTAAAACATCCTTTTACATTATTTCATAATATTATAAAAAATTTTGTGTATTTTTGAAAAAAAAAAATGAATGTTCAGTTAAAATTAAACACTGAAGCTGAAGTCAATTTTAACTAAAATTCTTGGTTTGCAGTTGGTTTTTGATTTATTATATAAATACCTATATTGCATATAATGCCGTCCTAAATCTTATGTTACTGCATTACATGACCTTATGACACAGCTTTATCCAATTAGTATCCAGCAAT